CTAAAATAATTATAATTTAAAATTGAAATTTATATGTTTGACCCAAAAAACTCAAGGAAAAGATAGCTTGACGATGTAAAGTAGGCGACCTCAAAAAAAAACGCACTAGTCACCCAAAAGATGTGGAGACATTAAAAAAGTCCACAAAATCGTTTTGGAAAACCAAAAAGTGAAGTTGAAAAAGATCGCTACTACTTTAAAAAGTTTAAAGTAATGTTATACCTATAAATTATACCTATAAGAAAGCTCTTTTGAAGTGGCAACAACCTATCCATAATTTTGTGAGGCTCTTTGGAGCTTTTGACGTGAGATATTTGGTTATAGTCTTTGGCCATCATGGCCAAATTGCACAATTTTCACTTTGAATAGCTTCCACGCCCACAATACTCACTAGACTTGACTCCCAGCAATTACTACCTGTTTGCAGATCTCAGAAAAATCCTCTAAGGTAAATCTACTTCCCTCCTATGAAAAAATCATCGCCGAAACTGAGGCATATTTTAGAGATATATCATTTTACAAGAGAAATATCGAAATGTTAGAGAATCGGTGAAATGATTGTATTAATCTTGATGAAGACTGCATTGGTTGAAAAAGTCGAATTTTCAAAAAAAATTTTGTTTTACCGGTTATCGTACGAACTTATTAGCTAATGGGGTAAATAGTATAACTCATGCTCTTGTGATTCATACAATTACTTTACTTTAGTTACTGTAGACTTTGGCAAGTACCTAATTGTTTACAATTAACTAAATTGTAGTTACTGGAACAATTTCAACAGATATAAATGTGAATACATTTATAACGGGATGTAGTAAATTACATCCCTGTACTTGAAGAAACCTGTATTGGCATAACCAAAGTATTTTAGTTTCCTCAAACTAATTCAACGGGTCTTCAATCACTTTATGTGATTTGTGACAAATATATATATGTGAACATTCTCATCTGATTATAAAATGTTAAATTAAGATGGTTTTATGTCATTGCAGAAGGTTCTGTGTACAATTTGAATTCTCTCATCTGCCAACTCTAAAAAGTCTGCAAATCTCAGGCAGATCAGGAACTAACACATATATAAATGTAAATGTAAATGCTCATTTGATTAAAGAATTTTAGATTTGAATAGTTTTGTGTGATTATAGAAGGTTCCCTTCTTAATTAATTCTTGAATTGTATTATGTACCATCTCTCATCTATCATCATCTATTTTGAGCTCATTACTATTGGATCTAACCGACGTTCTTAACACGTGTGTTTTTTGAATGAATACACCTGCGTAATCCAGAATATTACAATATGGGTACTGTTCATAGTTTTGTATCGAAAAGCAGGAATGCAACGGTTATTATACTTTCACCAAAAATACAATGTATGATCATTTTTTTTTTGAAGCTTCGCGAATATCCTGTGTATAAACAGTCTTTTAAAAAAGTTCTCTTTAAATAATAATGCAGATATATAAATATAAGCAGGTTTTCGATAAAAGTTATTTCTTAAATGTATATCAGTATGAATATTAATACTAAAAGGTAAAACCTATTCTCAATTTTTAAAAAGACAATAATTTACATAAGTAATACAAATTACATGAATTTAAATAATCATGAAACCCATTAACTTTTTCCACACATTCATTCCATGTGTCTATAAATAAAAGGAAATAAAAATTAAGCCTTTCATTGTTCTATGGAAAAACTATACCTACTTGTCCGGAAATAAATTTGGTATTATAATCATTTACCCATGTGCCCAATTTACGTAGTGCACAAGACTACAACTATTTTTTTTTTTTTTAAATTTGGAGTTCATCGTTCAATTTGACTCGTGTCCTCCTCAATTTATTTTATTATTCCTTTTTCATTGTGCGTGATTATCATGATTATCGTGTGTGAGATTTTTTTTCTGGACTAACGAGTTAATTTCTCTAACACCAATAAAATTGACTCGTTCACAACTTTTGTGGCGTAATTTTTCAATAAATACTATGAAGTAATTGTTAATAATCTGTACTCGTATAAATTTACAATATAAATAAATGTTTATTTTTTCTTTATTCTATACAATAAAGCGAAGTCGTGAAAACTTGGCCGAATAGGAAACAGACATTTCCTCAGTGACTACCCAGCTTTAGCTATCAGAAGAAACAGATTTTTAAGAAAGTTTTTTCTTGTCCATTTGGAAGACTGCTTTTCAGATAGAACAAAAGTTTAAGTTTAGTTTAGTTAATGCTAATTTACATAGCGGGATAAATCTAGTTTCCTTATTATATAAGGCGGTAAGGTGTCTACCGCTCAATCATAGCAACTATATAATAAAATAAATAAGTTCAGTTTAATTAAGTGTATAGATTAGTTGTACAATATTTAGAACAGTAAAGTTTGATATATAAGCTAAAAAAACAGTTTTTTTTAAAAATAGGAATATACGCAAGGCATATTACGTTATCTAAGAAGTTTGTAACCAGTGAAGAAAATCTGATAAAGTATCCACATGCATATATATACATTGACCACTTTGACGAGACAAATTACATTAGCCGAGTCGGCCTGTCTGTTTGACTGTTTCAATTCAACTTCAATCTCTCAATTTTTGAGATAAATAACTAAAATTCTACACGCAATCCTTTGAGAACTGATATGTAAAATTTATTCAACTAAAATTATATATATGATCATATATATACGATAGCTGCGTTACAAACTGATCCATTAGTACTCATACTGCTTCTCTTTTGTATGGCATAGAAGCGCGTTATCACAGAATGATGAATTGTTCGTTTACAAAATTCGTTTCTTTGAGAGATTTTTAGTCATCAATAACTTGGCGACGATTACCACATCATTAATGATTTAATATTAAGCAGTTATTTAGTGTGGATGAATGACGATGCCCCAGCAAAAAAACTTGAATTCGGTTTATTTATCAGAATAGAACCGATCGCTAAATTCTAATATTTTCTAAACGAATTATAGGTTATAATGTGGATTTTCCTATGCACAACGAAAATACTAGAAAAAAATTTTTGGTGGACTTTCTGCAATGTATTATTTGAAGATTATATTGTCAATCGGAAGTTCTATCCACTATTACCCTCTCCTATAACGCCACTTTCTATACGCCTTGTTTACTTAGTTCCTAATTTTTAAAATAACGTTCACATTGTTCTGGAGCTTCTTTAGCAAGGTGTTTTTTTTTGTGGACTTTTCTTATATTCTGAACATCCATTACGTTGTTTTTAATTTCTATTTCATCTTATATTTCTTAATATTGTTTTATTTTTAGTAATCATTCTAACGAAATAAAATGTTTTATTAAATTTTTATTTTATTTTATTTTTATTATTTTATTAAATTATTTTTTCAAACTATTCACTGCAAAGGATACATTTTAATATTGAGATTTTAAAGCGGAAGGATTAATGCTGTTATCATGCACTTCTATTATCCGCTTGACTAATGACTGATAAAACTTTTACACACATTTTTTTAACACATTTTCAATATAAAATCTATATACCTCGGTAATAAATTAAATTCTTAAGTGACTAACTTTAACTTTAAATATTTTACAACCTACGCAATCCATTTTAGAACACAAAATTCGAATCTATGATCGCAGTTTCTATTTAAACCGGACGCGTAAACTATAGCAACACCATACGGTCAAAACTCCATTCGATTTCATTGTTTAATGGAGTTCGGATGCTGTAAACCTTTTTAAGTACAAAGAAACTCTTTATGACTTTCAGCGTCAATGATCTTGTCTGCCTTTCGTTGAAAACAGAGTCGATTTTCTCCAAGCCCAACAGCTTGGGTTCTGTGTAATTTTTATGTTAATTGAAATACAAAGTAAATAAATAAATATAATGCAATATTTTATGGGGTTTATAAATGTGTGTGGCTTACGTTGTTGTGGAGCGTTTTTTTATTTACCCAAAACCGAAATTAAGAAAAATATAAAAAATTGTTTACGTTTTAAAATTTCATGGGAAATTTCACACTCAGCACATAACTTTCAGCTAATTAAGTGCATCCTTTGATGCTGGATTAGTTTTGCGCCCGTATTTGAATGGTTCAATTAACTACTCTATGTGAATAATATTGAACCGTATCAATTCTGTTTTTAATGATATAACCACTTGACTTGATATAGAAACATTTTTAGTGAAGTCATTTCCTCATGAATCAAAAAAAAGTAATAAGAAAATCTTAGACAGGAAAGTTCAATTACCTTTAATTATTTTGGGCGGAGTAGATGAGATCAAGTGCTTAATTAAAATAATTGAAATACCATATATGTGAACGGTTAAAAAGTTCACATACATATATATGAGTAAATATTTTTAATTTAATAATTTAAGTATTAATAGCAGATTTATATATATTGGTTATGAATATTTCCATAATTATGTTGAAGAACTGAACTTCTTATTCACATTTCATTACTTACACAAAATGACAGTCTTTTACTTGATAGGTCAGTGAGTTTAAGTGAATCACATTTTCTCGAAATAGCCTTACAAACCTTTCAAATAACCTTTATAGTTTTCAAATATGAAGTAATTAATCTGCATTAATTTAGTAGATTTCATTATATATCAAAGAACTTCTGTGAAACAAATTCAGTCATTCCTGAACATATTATGTATATGAATAATGTAATTCACAAAATTACACTTCTTCTCTACCTACTATGCCATAAACCACAAATTGTTGTTTAGAATATATGGATGAATATAATGTATAAGTGTAAATCTCTAATAAATGAACGAGTTTCCAATGATTAAATGCTTGAGTATAAAAACGTATCTCATCACTGAACTGAATAAAAAAAATTTTTGTAATTATTCTTTCTGTTAGATACTTCTCTTAAAGCAAATGTGTTCCCTGAAGTCCAATATTTTTATTTTTTGCTTGTAATTGCCTTTTTAATAATAATAAAATAGGACTATTAAAATTTAATATATTTAAATCATTTCAAAAATATAACATTATCTTTTTGTCATTATTGTTATCATTATCAAAGCGTGTTATATACCAAATCTCATAGAATTCCATATATTTGTTACAATTTTCTGAGACATCGACACTGGTGCTTCTGGTTTTTTAAAGTATCGATTATAAATATAATCTATGCAGTACCCCCAGACTCCTTGTAGGGTTTCAATATTAAAATTCAATATAAGATAAATTATACAAATAAGCAATACCAATATTAAAAAAAACTTAATAAAAACTATAGTCCATTCTGATTCCATCACCTTTACAAGTATCCAACATATTTGATTTTGCTTACGAATCATAAATTTTACAATCTGATTTTTAAGGGGCTCATCTTCACTATATGGGAAATCTGTTTGTGAGTACGTACAAAATGTCATTTTTTCATCTTCTGTAAAATATTCTTCAGCTTCACTGTCGTTGATCTCGAACTGATAAATTATAATAAAATTATTTAAGTGAATACCACTCTTGGAGATGTTTATTTTTTTTTTTTTTTATTTTAATTTATTGATATCACCTTAGGTTTTGGTGTTAGATCTAGTAAAATCTCCAACTGTTTTGTATAGTTTTCGACTACATATGGTAAAATATCCGACAATTTCGATGTTTCACTAGAAGCATCTTTTGTATTTTTTTGAGATCTTCTTCCTGTTAGCAATTCTTCCATAGTCAATTCAAATTGATAAGGTTTTCTTAATTCTTTTGATTTTCGATAGGAGCGAATCTTAGATTTAATATCGTTGGATTTTTCTGGTTTCTGAGTTTGCCATGTTTCTAAACAGATATAAATTAATCACTTTACTCTGACTGAAATTATGTAATAATTTAGGGATATATACCCCACCGTATATGTTCCAAATTTCATTATTTAATTTTAATTTACCTTTTGTTGGTTTCCTGTTTGTATTTTGAGGTTTTAATGGATTTTTCTTAGATTTTTCATCAAGCACGTGTAAACTAAAGTGTTAATGAAAATTTTATAATTTCCTTAGTTTTTGAAAATGTATAAATGCATTTTATACCGACCTATTAAATTTTAAAAACGGGTGCTCAACCTCAGCATATTTAGTAGTAGACTTAGTTAAGTGATTAATTGAATAATCTCTTAAAATTATATTTTTTAATTAGAATTCGAATAAAATTTATTTATAAATAAATAAAGCAATATATTTAAAACTTACTTGAAATCAAAATTGGAAAATTCTCTAGACTTCCCTATATTCTCCATGTTCTTATAGGAGTTTTACAAAAAATTCCTATATATATTGCACTTTTTTGTATTTATTACTATTTTTTATTTATTACTTTTTGTATTTATTATTTCTATATAATAATCGTAGCATATTTTTTTATTTCGAATTTGACATTTAACTCAATGTCTTTTTTATGACATTATTATTTCTGAACTGAACCGGTCTTAAATCGAAACCTTTTATTTTAATTGAACTCAACCATAAAAATATTTTAAAACCGCTAGTGTAAATACTAGATATACCGTTTTCACCCTATAATTAATGTTGCTGCAATGCTATACGTAAAGTCTATACCTAACCTACATTATTAACTGCCAACTTTACAAATACCTCATTGTTCTAACTATTCTTGCAAATATATATATATATATATTTTTTTTTTTCACTTATGATAAATAAAGTTTGCTAAATATTAAGTTTATTAATCCCTCTTTTTCGGTGGAACGACCAGGTGACCAACGATTTGGGGGCGCTCGGTATCACCAACTGGCGTCAGAAAGCAACTAATTGGGCTGACTGGCGGAGGCTACTCGACGCGGCCAAGGACGACCCACATCTATAATGGCCAACTAAGTAAGTAAGTAGTAATCCCTCTTTTATCTGTAAAGATGTATCGCCACCATCACAGTTGGTAATATGAAACTTTTCTCTATTCATAATGGTGGGTTCATTGGATTCAAATCTTTTTCTACGACCTTCAATAATCACTATCTACTTAAAAAAAAGACACATTTTTTTATATGTATTTTAAAATTTTAATGCATTCATATTGTCATATTAAGTATAATTATGCTAAATGTAAATAAATAAAAACAATTTTTTGAATTATTTAGAAAAATATATGTGAAGAATAATATATTAAACAAAATATAAAAATACTGAAAGTCTCCATTGTCTCTTCTGCTAAGAAACTAACTTCCATATATAAGCAAATATTAACTCGAATTTTGTTACTGGATTTTCTGTAGCTTGAAAATACCACTCTTGGAGATGTTCTGCAAAATGTTTGATATAGACATTCATTGAAAATGAACCAAACATATATAGTATACCCCAGATTATAAATATAATACTTATAATAATATATAAATTAAATTGCCCTGAAAATATAATCTGATTATTGTATAGTGAAATTAGATAGTTTCTTCTACTCACCTTTGTACACAGAGGCAGCAATAGAGTCTTGAGTATGATTTTGGTCATCATCACAAACAAAGTTTAAACCATCGAAATATTTCTTATCAGTGTATATGTTACTTTTCATATCAGTATCACGAAAATCACTGAAAATGTTTTCACAATAAGGGTGGGATATTTCAGTTTGCGTATATATATTAGTAGACTTGGGCTTAATTTTTAACTTCTTACACTCCTTGCTAAGTGCTCCAAAACTGGGTATATTTAAAGTTTGATAGTCATCAAAATTCTAGCAAAAAATGTATTAATCTATATATATTATATGTATATATCTATATTTTATATTATATTATATATAGTCATCAAAATTCTAGCAAAAAATGTATTAATACATATACCTATTATATGAAATTATAAAAAACTGCTTTTTTTTTAAATACCTTCTGAGTTGATTTACTCTTATTGGCCTTTTTTTTGTTAATTACGAGCTCCTCAAGGGGTTTTTCAATAGATGCCTGACAACTTATGGAAACCTTTAAGACATAACATATAGATAATAAAACTTATAATCAATATTTAAAATAATATTCTCCTACCGTTTTCTTATGATGAATTGGCGATGTGTTTGTAGACTTGTGCTTACTTTCTATGGGTACCAAAGATTTTTGACAGCCTCTAGTAAGCTGAAATTATAAAAACTAATACATATTTCTTTTTGGGATAAATATATTTTTAACTACCAACAGTGTTTTTGAAGTTTGCACTGCGCAATTCTTCTGTTTGACTGGCCTCAAATCTGATAAAAGTGTTTGAGTTCCGGCATCCTGAACTGGTTTATATTTTTGCTGTACTTTTTGTAACATCCGATATGGTGACATTTTAGGGCCCCGATTAGATATGGAACGTAATTTATGCATATATTCAGAAGGTTTCAAGCTACGTGTTCTATTTGATTTCATTTGACCTAGACTGTTACAGGAATATTTCGTCTTTATTTGCTTTTTCATTGCAATGCTTTCCATATTATCTAAAATTGTGCCAACATCAACATCGCAGCTAAACATATTTTGAATAGTACCATCGGGCATAACTCTCATTGCTCTTGGTCCAGAATTGACAGATCTGACAAAATAAACATCGAAAATTTATAATTGTTTATAAATGCATATAAGTGTATATATTTACATTTACCTTTCTGTTGCTTTTGACAAAATTTCTGGTAAGTCAATAAGTGGATTAATAACGCTACCATCGAACATGTGTGCAATCTGTGAGTCATCAAGGGTAGTTCGCTTATTTCTTAACATAAAAATATTACAAAATAATAATGAATAATTAATATATAAATATATTTTTATACATGTGATTATCTTTGTGCCCAGAAGCATTTGGGGGTGCAAGGTTGGAGTTTTGTATATCTTGCATAGTTTTCAACCCCAGGCTGGAAAAATATGAATTTATATAGAGTATCTATAAATTGAAAACTTTGTCTTACCCTAGTGTAGGAGGAGATTGAATCGTATTCATATGATGTTTACTTTAAATAAATTATTAAATAATTTTTTTAAGCTATTATAAAGTGTTACTACCTGCAATATGTCCTTGGACTCTTTTTCTTTAAGTCACTATATAATAATTATGTATTACAATATAATTCTTAATAAAAAATACATGATTACCATTGAAGATTATCTTGTATTGGATATTTACTTCCAGCACTTAAAATTATTTTTAAATTATTATTTTACTTTGTTATTTAAACGAAAATGCTTTTTTTAACATACTTGCTTTCTTGTAAACTTGATAACAAATGATGTGAACATTGTCTTGGAAGTTTTTTTTGTACTTGTGAGGTACTAAACCAAGATATATTGTGTTAAACATTAAGTATATACTATATAAGGCGTAATGCTTAGGAATACCTTTGAGCGGATATATCCAACAAAACGCTGGAATTGTCCATAGCGCATTTCACATCGACACTAAAAAAATAAATTCATTATTTTATCTGTTTATAGAAGCGGACCCGGTCTCGAAGCTACTTATTTACTAAGGTCAAGCGGTGCTCATTATAACAACATATATTACATTTATTTTTATTACATTATGTTTGTTACTTACTCCGGTAATAGAATTTTCTCTTTACTATGTCCTGTGCAGTCATTTCTGCAACGAAGGTATAATTTAACATTAATAATATATTATGCTATATACGTCTAACATACCCTCTCACAGAAGAATGCATCCTGATCGTTGACAATTATTATCAAATGTTGGCTGTTCAAATATATAAAGAAAATCCCTTAATATTTTGTAAATCAATTTCAAGTCAGAGAAAATTTTACAATTTTGTAATGTTATTTACCGACCTACTGGATTGTAGTTGACAAAATTGCTTCTTTTACTTGCTTCTTTTTACTATAATATCACCACTGGCGACCTGACCGATAACTTTATATCCACTATTTAATTACTATCTAATATATATAATACTATAATATAATAAATATTATTTTATCACAATTAATATAGCTCAGTTAGTTGTTACCTGAAGTATAAGTTAATTGCAAAATATTATATTAGACAGGTAAATTTTAAGTTGTTCCCTTTCCAATAGTAAGATTATTTAAAAGTACGAGTATTTAAAAAATTAAAAAAAATTCTTAGACTTAAGCAAAATAAAAAATATTTAACTTTATAAAAAATGTATTCAAACTAGATAAATTAAAAAAGATATATAAATTGTCAAAGAAATTCTAAGCATGCTTTCTTATGATATTGGAATTGTGGATTTGCTGATGATGAGGAAATTCTACTCTACCTCACATGTATCAGAGCTTAACTGTAATTCTACAAAATTAAGCACTTCACCAAGCTTATAGACTTGTCAGATTAGTTCACTTTCAGTTGAATGAGGGATTCATGCCTTTCTGCGTTGTTCATACGCTAACCTCTGTGGGTCTGTTAAGGGTCCTACTGGTCTGTGTATAAATAATGTTAACGCGTGGCATTATAACGTGCATTATTTGCAAAGAGACTACTACAATCTACCCTAACCTAGGCGCCAACTCAATTTAATTGGGTTTCATAATCTATGGGAATATCAGTGGTTTAAATTAAAAATGTATTCACACTTTAACTTATTTTCTTTAATAATTGAATTTAAGGAATTTTCCTAATTTCTATTATTTCTTATGTTGGCTTATAAGTGACAAGTACTTACCGCTTCCATAAACAAATATCACTATTGTCATCAACAAACAATAAAAAACAATTAAACATAAATTTTACCGCACTCTGGTAAGACCAACCGTTCTTTTATTTATCTGGCGGTTTGTCGCCTACATATCTTTATTATTGTATATTTTTGTACTCGTTTTTGTATCTCTATTTGTATCTTTTCACATTGACATATGTTGTATGCATATATTTTGTACAATTGTTAGGTATTTATACTAAAGCAGCAGTGACTTTTGTGTAAGTTGTTGTCTTCTGAACAATAAACAACATCCCGGATGCTCTTTACAAAAATATAAAATGCTGCTATACATCGCATTACAGTGAAGTAAAACAGAGAAATGCACTAAATGCGAAGTTCCAAAACGAAAGGAAGTGACAGTACGTTGATTAGTTTGTCTCTACTTTTTTATGATTCTCACTTCAGCGGATGTACGGGCGGATGGATGGCCAACATCGATTCCACTTGTAAATCATATATTCGAAAAATGATACTAATGTCAAATCGTTATCAATATTTAATCAAATTAATTTCATTAAAATTAGTTTTATATAAATATACTTAACTGTTATAGTTATATCTTCTTAATATTGTTCACTCTTTTTAATTATACATAAAATATACTTAAATATTTTAAATGGTCGCATTTAATTATTTTATTATTTAAATAATATATCAAGATAACAAAGGATCTACTATGCTCTCAGTGCTCCGCTTCGTTGGGCGCTGGTACCCTGTTTATTTCTATTCTATCAAGATAACATATTATTGCATTATTTCTGTACTAATATAATCTTTTATAACTTTATTAAATATTACTAATTTCATTTTTATATGATGACGACACTCTCACTAGTGCTACAAAATCTATAGAAAGTTTTTCGAAATGTTAAATTGATTTTAATACAATTTTTATTTGTATAAAATATTGGCTTAGAAGGGTGAATGAAGCTAAGCCCTGTCCAAAAATCAAACTCCATGTGTTAAATTGTACCCTGATGACACATGCATCCTGTACTCTCATATAAATGCAAGTATCATTTCTAAATCTCTGCCGCAGGTGCATATTGATATAAACTGATCAACTAAGTACATACATGGAAGAAAAAGTATAATAGTAATATAGTGATATTGTGAAAGAGTATAACCGATTTTTACACACTCGTCAGCATTAACAAAATGCAAGGATATTAGGAGGAAATAATCCCACCATTGAGTGGAGGATGGCAATGAAATACCTGCGACGGACTTTTGACAAAAAAAAAAAAACAATTTAAAAACATAACATTTAGACAAAGAGGGCTCTTCGTATAGAAACTCTGAATCATTTTCAACCCCTCTTCAAAAGTAAAATGTTGCACCAGAAAAATAGAATGCCATCTATTCTTGAAGCCATCTTTCTTGTATGGTTGTGTCAATAATGCAACTAAATTTAAGCTTCAGAACTCCAAAAACTCTAAAATATTATCTTAAAGAATACATTCAAAACTTATTGGTATACGACATTGAAAATAAAACGTTGATATATAATACAAGAATTTAACCATTCACATGGTTGATGCAATTCATCAAAATGGATGGATAGAAGTATTCAAAGTAGATTTGCTTAATCAATATTAGAGCGTTAATGCTATTCTTCAAAATAGATAGTTATCCCTTCTAAGCTGGATTCAAGGAAGATTTATTAATATCCGTACTTTCAATATTTCGCAATTTCCCAATAAAAAAGATATATTATAGATAAAAAGGTTTCTTCAGTAAAAATAAAATTAAGCCACCTAGCGTGGAAAGTAAAGATGCTAACTGTTACCAACTACATCAATTCACAACTCAACTGTATGTCTATTCATACATATGTCCCAAAACTAGATCAAATAATTTAAAAAGCTCATTTATATTTTAACTTTAGAAATAAAAATATAAAAAATTGAAAGACCGCTTTTTTATTGATCTTGCAAAGTCAACAAAACTGATATTGCGGGATCTACTTAACTTTACCAAATGATATAACAAGGATAATATACAAACAGAAAGCAATAACTAGCTAACTCATCTCTCCCAGGTAATTTTAAGGGCATAACAATGGGCAATACAAAACTCCAAGTGGAAATGTTGGTAAGTGTATCAGCACTCGTCCTCTCAATATTACCTAAAATAGCCATGTATCAATTTAACAATTTTCAAGTTTTATTCTGCCGGTAAAGCTAATAAACGCTTTTAGGGTCATACCACAAAGTTATAAAGACTTTGTTCCGATGTTGTCTAGTAATAGCTTAGTTTAAATAATACGTTGTATTTATTGAAATAGCAGGAAATATATTAAAAGTTCATTTCAATCATTTTTACAATGAAATCTGTTTTATTATTATTATTTTTTGATTTTTTATAAAATGCGTTTATAAATTTTACTCATGTAACTCAGATTGAAAACACAATTTAATCATTGAGATAATAATATTGGAATACGAATACATCGTGATCGAATGAGTTGCGTGATGAACATAAATTAGATTTCAACGTGTGCAATCCAACACAAAAAAAAAAGCAACAATAAAAAAAGAAGTCAAAAGTACATAAAATTAATTTAAACCTTTAATGTAATGAAAAACTGTGGAAGTGTGAAATATTTCAAATGTAAAATGTGAATTTCAAATGTTCATTACAATTCTATTTCTTTTATTCAAATTTTTTGTGTCTTAACCCAAACATTAGTTCTTATTATTAATGAAGTGTTAATTTGAGAGAAGTTCATTCTACTTTTACAATATTTGTAATAAAACAGGGTCATATATCAAAAGGCTTAACACTAGCTGTGAACATAAATCAACGTCAGTTCCTGCTTCGTAGTGATTTTATGCGTTGGTTTACCCCAAAACAGCTTCGATCATCAACAAATGTAGCTTGAGCATTGCTACAGATTATTCATAAGTTAATTACTATGTTTATATGTAGTAAACTCAACAATAAAATTTTGGTTTTAAAGGAATAAATACTTGTAGGAATGTTATATCCATGAATAAAGTTATTAGGGGAACACGAGACATATGAGAATAAGAATAAGGTAGGAGGAAATATATTTTTTCAATTCAGATATAAGTTTAAAAAATTTTGAAATAAATTAGCTGTATTAATTTTGATAAGATACTAAATTTATTCAGTACAATTTATTCAATTCTTAATTAATTTACTAGCAAGTTCATTAAATAATATAAATGATAACTAATTTTTTATGAATATATATGTTTTTTATATCACGTTATATCACGTTAATAACTAATTCCACTAATTTAAAAATTTATATTTTTTTAAATTATATATTTAAAATTGATATTATTATTTAAAAAAAATATCATACTAAATATTTGTATAAGAATTCATAAAAAAAAATTATTATAGCGTGTAAATCGAAAATAAAATGATAAAACATTAAAAACGATATTTTTTATTTTATTCGCAAGAGAAACATCCCTGTATTATCTTAAACTAGCTCCTCATGCTAAAAACTGAATCTTTGAATTTTACCTACATTTTTATCCAGGACATATTTAAGTATTTAAACACAAATAAAACAAAATTGTTGCTAATTATCTGTAATAATAATCTTTAATTAATATTCTTATTTATTACAATATTTTTTCTGCACAATATCCATTCCTGAAATGTTTTAGAGAATTTTACAAAGAAAATCACAATTCTCTTATGCTTATTACATTTTTAAATATGCACGTATATAACATTCAAATACCTATCTTTCGCACCAGTCTGTTAAATATGTATGTATAAAAATTATCATGAAAAGACTTCACCATAAATAATTTAATGTTTTTCAGTTTAAGTGCCTATCCCAATGCCTATTCTGCAGTAAATATTCGTTATTAAGTCTCTTATTACACAGACGACGATTTTAGAGTAAAGTCGAAATATTAAATTTAAAAATTAGTGTAAAATAATTTAAGTTGATTCAGTAAATAATATAATTTTCTACTATTAGTCTACTATTACTATAATTCTACTATTAGTCTCATTACAGAAATAGCTAGATCTAAGTAACAGAGTTATTCGTCACTATAAACCATACTCGTTGATTTTGTTATGTAGCAAGCTAAGAATAAAAAAAACAATATAGATATCTGGAACGCAGGTGAGATAACATAGGCTACTATGATCTACAACCTAAAACTACACGTAGTTGACAATTAAGTGCTGCCCACCAAACCAAGTTTCTCAGCGCAGATATAGCTGATCAGTATATAACGAAAATGTGCTATAGGTCTTTAAAATCTAATTCAATTTACTATATTGGTAAGAAGTGATGTTTCTTAACAAAATTGATTAACAAATGCCGCTAATAACTCTGCTCAAGTAACAACTACGGCTATATCGCGTTTATATATTTTTATACTTACAAATTACTCTCTTTACATTACAGTAGATCATCCAAGTGGTCACCGACAGCATGAATAAAAGTACTATTAGATACTAATTCGAGTTTCATTAAGCAAAAAAGTAGATAGTCTTATAACATTATTATTATTAGGCATGTTCCGTACAATATTTGATTGTAGAAACTTAGCCTATTCACAAAGACTGTGAAAAGTTTTCCAATTTTGCCTATTTGGTGCCTATTTCAAGCTATCGATTTATTCGTTTCATTGTTTATGGTTCTACGCCAAGAATTGCGTGGTCGTCCATGGGTTCAACTGCCTTGCGGATTCCAGGTTAGTGCCACATGTGCTACGTTATTTGTGCTTTTGCGTAACATCTTATAACATTAAAAACAAATTTTTTGTTTTACATTAAATTAAATTTTATTTTTAAAACATTATCATTTTTTGTGTTTTAAAGCATTTTACATTGTATAAGTATAGCTAAATATAATACTAATTAACAAAAAAAAAAAAAAAAATTGTAGTATATTTAAAACTTACAAAACTAATAGGACATTGAAAAGTAATTTTATTTAAATTTTAGTGCTTTGATATTTTTCTATTACCCTAGTCATAATATATAAACTATATAAAATTCACTCTTTTTTTTTGCCTAATGAAAATTTTTTTTATGTACAGAAAATAAATTTACATATATTATTTGATGGTATTTTATTTTTACGATAATAATGCCATTGCCCGCGCTAAACGTACTCTAAAATCGCGATACAACATTTTACCACCGACTGGTACACGACACAAATACATGTCAAGACTCATAAGACACAAAGCCTTGCCGTTCATCGGAAATTTTTGAGGTAATTCGGGTGTCACTTCCAGTCCCTCTGAAACTGCCATATTAATCAGCCATTTCCAGACATCGGCTCGTGTCCAGTCACGTGGATCTACGGGCAAACCATCTGAACCTAAATGTTGCAGGCTTATAGCATCACCATTCTTTCGGCCGTTACTATTGCTCAGCGATAAATGTGTATGATGATGACTATAGGGATTTTGTAAAGAATTGCGCTGCATTGCCGACTCTGAATTGACGATATCAGTTTTCGTTGACCACAAATGTTGTAAGTCGTTTTCTGTGCGACAACTCGCGTTTACTTGAGAAAGGTCCAAAGGCGGTACACGACCTGCATATTTTGGATAATTTGACTCGATTTCCATTTTAAAGTGTATGGTGCAGTTGTTGATTGAAACTGTAATAAAAAATAAAAATAAAAAATTATGAATCAGTAATATTTTCAACGGAAATGAGTAACTTTAAAAATTTATTTAATAATGGTTATTTACAGTGTTTATATATACAAGCATAAAATACATTGTTACGAGTGGAATAATAGATATGATATGCGATGACTTTTTATCACAATTTTAGTATTGAAATACTTATAATTTATATTTCATATTTATTTTTAATTTAAATATAACCTTGAACACACTGTCACGAGGAAACCTTGTAAACAGTGCTTTTTTCGTATGCAATTTTTTTCTCCATATTTTGAATTGTGGAGCAGCAAATATAGCACATATACAGTGTATATACAGTGTGACAGCTCAGCACATGACAGGAAGCAGCTAATTGCGGGTATTCATTGAGTTGTAATGAAGTTGACACAATTAAAACCGGAATCAATTACAGCGGTTCAAGTGTTCTATAAACTCGCAATCAATTTTCAACCGGTTGCGATTGGCACATATTGAGCTATTAATATTACGAGCGCATGTATTTAACTACAAACAACTACCGCTGCGACCGGCATCGGAAACAATTACTTCATTATCTGTGGCTACTGCCAGTGTCGCACAAACACACAAATGTAGTTTGCATACATAACGAAATAATGAAATGACGAATGTGCAGAGCAAAATAAAAAGGAAAAATGAGTACAAATTCTGAAGAAAATATTTGAATTTGCATTTTGCTAAGCACTTGCAAACAATTATAGTAAATCTGATTGATTTAACAAACATGTACTTAAATATATACTATATGTATGTATATATGCAAGTGTATATTATTATATATCCGGCGTTGGCCACGATTTCAATAAGTTTGTTGACGGATGTGTAACTAGACAATGCATACCTAATAAAATAAAAAACAAATTACTTAGAAGATTCCAAATAGCAACAAACAAGACAAAATTAAAGGAAATAAGGCCTGAGAGAGTGAGAGCGGATGTCAGATATAAAAATTTGTTGTTGTTCTCATACCTAATTTAATGAAGTGTAGTTGATGTGATTTTTTTCTGCTTGCTTTGTTATTGTTTCCCTTTGCGCGCTTATGCGTACTAGCCATTTTTGTATAAAGCCAACTTCTCATACCGCCAATTTGACAAATGAGACAACAACAACAGCAGCAGCAACAACAACAACCAATGCACTTAAATTTATTACTTTGTTTTGCTCTTCCGGATTTGATTTAAATGTTTCCGTTGGGTTAAAAAATTAAGTTTGATAATGTTTAATTGAATTTCGTGGCAATATTTGATTGATATTGCATAGAATGAGAGAAGTAATGAAAGCTTAGAAATTTTGTACTTTTCCTGTGTAGAAACCGTGTACTGCTATACTTCTTAATAAAACTAAGGAAATGACTAAACTAAAATTGTTTAAATGAAAACTCAAGTGGTTTGTTTAATAATTTACATATGTATGTACATGAGAATGAAAGAATAAATATCTAGAATGAAAATTTCTTTGTATTTAATTGATTTTTGAAGTAGAAATGTTGTGAAATGTCTATAATATATACATACATATAACAATTGTTTAGATCAATAAATACAGAGTTGTTAATAAGTATGATCGAGCAATGACACACATGAAGCAGTGAACAGCAGGAAAGCGCAGAGTTAATTAGTGGCTTATATAGTCAAAAATGTGTGTGAATTTTCTCACAACAAATTTTAATATAACCACTTTAGAGCTGCACTTTAACATAAATCATAAAGTTCATTTAAATATAAACATTTTCATTCAAAATAAATGAAAACGAATGAACGAAAGTGTACAACAAAAGAGAAGAATTTCATTGTTCAAACGCAAACGCAAACATGGTGTGCCACACACACAGTTCATGAAAAGAACATAGCGCGCGGCTGGAACATTTCTGATATGGAAGGCTTGGTTTGTTTATTTATTTTATATGTATTATTAACATATGAATCAAACATAATAAACATTCGACAAGATTTAAAAGGAATTCACTTGATGAAAAAACATTTTTCAATGCACTTCAAACGGAGCACAATTTGTAATCCGTTCTTCATTTGCTTGCACAGTATTTATTATCTATTGAGGAAGCGGCAGTCATAGAGCACAATGGAGCTGTTCATACGCCTTGTGGTTCAGGTGAAATAGTGATTAGTTGTGGTATTTTATTTTAAGTATTAAAAAATGGTTTGCGTCCGGCTTTAAAAAGATTTGAATAAGTCAACATTTTTTTCGTAAAGTATTAATAAACTGTCATTAAAGTCTCTTCCAAAGGTTAAAAAAAAATTAAAAACGAGTTGGGAAACAAATATTTTTCTAAATATGGCATTAAATACAATGGATTGAAAATTCTATTTAAAAAAAAAAATGTTTTTCGATAATAACCAATCAAAATTTTAAATATCGTGGAAATAATAGAAAACAAATTAACAATTACTTCTTTATAAATTTGAAACATTATATTTTGAACTATTTTAAACAAATTATATTTTGAAATACAAGAAGAAAATTTCATTTTATATTATTTTAATTAATTGAATTTTTCGGCTGACCATACAGTTGTTTCGAGTATTGCCCAATATCCATCAAATACCCATAATTCTTGTACTTAATTTTTCGTAAATAATTTTTTGAGACTGCAAATTTCAGGAATCGAACTTGTGCTCTACCATATTTGAAGCTCAGTGTCAGCGCTCCTTAATCAATTGACGCAAAGCCGTATTTGAATTTTATGTTCGTACATTTTTCTGAAGTTTTAAACCATTCTTATAGTTAAATAATACAAATGTTTAAGATTTTATTCAGAAAATTTTAAGTCTGACTGTACTTTTATTCATTAGTTAATATTCTGCAGCTGTTTATGCCAGCTAGTATCATGTTGATATTAGGTTCTTTTAAGTTTATTATTATAATTTAATTTTATTCTCTTAATTTTATGCTTTTACTATTATTCATTTTTGCCACTGTGTAATGTAAGCATCTGTTTGAAAAGCTACAATGCAAATGCAAAAACTATATAAAAAACAACAAATTTTCAACAACACTAATGTTTTATTATATACTATAAATATTTAACTGCATGTATAATATACAAACTTTATATAAGCGAATAATCTACATAAAGCTAAATCTATTTGTATATATTTTTAACAATATATGTGGATTTTGCTTATACGTTTGAGATGTAAATATTTCAAAGTTAAATATTGAGGGTTTTAACAACATATTGTATATATCCTATATATTTAGGTTGATTAAAACTTTTAAAAGTTAAAAGTACTTAAAATAAAAATATAAAAAAAGAACGATAATAATATAAGAAAAAATACTCCCACGAATATTTCAAAAAATTCCGATGGGAAAATGTATACAATAAACTCTTACAAGAATTTAAGCCAAGTGCTTTTAAGAAAGAAATGCATTTGTCACACGAAGAACCCCATCACTTCGTCATTGTTATATAATGTTATTCTAGAAAGACTTAATAAAAATAATTCTCAAGGAGTTAATAAGACAAAAAGCAAAAGGGCAAAATATAAGCAAAAGCCACTCATGTGTGAAGTTATTCATTCAATGTGGGAAATTAATAAAATTCAGTAGAAAATATAGACAATGTCTTGGGAAAAAACATAAAAAGCGTAAAATATAGATCAAGTGAACTGAAGCCATTAGCCTAGGCAATGAACTCTTTCTCTTTGTAGTTTCTCTAATAATACGAACTTTGAATTGAACAATTTATTATATATAAAACACTGTTCTTATGTACTTAATGAGAGCTCAGTTTTATAAAGTATTTAAATTTGCATGAGCAAATTTAACTGCATATATTTATTTTATAATTTTTTAAAAATGAGTTGAAAAACAAAATAACAATGTTTTATGAATATTTTTAGCAAGACTTTTGTGCATTAGTGTTATTTATTTAAATATTACTATTGTTTTTAAATTATAAATTTCATAGGCATATTGGTATGAGTGTGAAATTATAATTCATTTATTAAATGCAAAATTATTTTTTAAAGAAAGCATTTTTTTTTTCATATCAAATTTCTTATTTACAAAACCACGTTTGAATGTTCGGTTCGGTTAAGTTATCATTAGGTTAGATGAAGTTGTTAAGAATCCACGTAGGCTTTTTGGATCATTATTTTGACTTACAAAACTTGATGGATTTAAAACTTGAAATTGAAACATTTCTTGAAGCTTAAAAATCTCATTAAAAAGTGTTTTTTGTTATTAATTTTCTGAAATCCTTTAGAAATAAATACTTTTAATCTGACTATTAAAATCTTAGAATTTATTAATTTTTCTATTATGAAGAGGCTTTCGAAAAATAATAAACTACAACAACAAAAATTCTATTATTACATTTCTTCATCCAAACGTTTATTCAAATTTTGGTACTAGCATTTACAATATTAGTAGAATGAATACTAAAGTATTAGCATATTCTATATTGGTATATTAGTTATTAGGAATAGCTGTTACTATCCCATAAATAAATGTTCATTATATATATTTGTGCAATAAAGATAAAATTTCCTTAATTCATATCTTCCTAAATAATTTTATACTTTTTACAATATAATAAATGACTGACTAACTTTAAAATAAATATATTATAACTTTTATTATTTTAAACTTAATTTAAATAAAAACAGAATGAATAAAAATAAACAGGAAGGGCATGCGCCATCTGCACATCCGCCCGCACAAACATTTTTTATCAAGGTCTACACAGTCAGTCTGTTTGTCATATTGTGTAAGAGGATGTGCGTTATAAAAGGGAAATAGATATGCATTAAAAAAACGATATAAATTAAAGGCACTTCCTGACGCATGCGCTTATTTGTATAAGCAGCACTGAAGCAATTATTGAATGCGCTGAATAATTACGTGCAACCATAACGTACTTTCGCCTAGAAATAATTTTATTCAAGCAAAAATAGTTACGAGATACGGGCTAAGCTTTACGGACTTT